AGACAAGGATACCTAACAAACTTAATATAGTATTCCAAATGCCAGGGGTGCTATCTTCTGTAAATCATACCCATATGTTCCACTCACATGTTTTACCTGGTCTTGTTTCTTCTGCCTCTTAATCTAAATATATCTAGTATTACCTTGTTCTCCACATTTCTTACTTTTTTGTTACTGTACCACTCCCAAATTGGTCCTACTCAGGTATGTTTGATCCTTATGATCTTCCCATTTTTGGTATGCCTGTTATTGATTCCTCTAAGGTGTTCTGACAATGGTCCAGAATCTGCAAAGAACCCATATCTCAAGCCAGATCTGCTGCTGTCATTGGTCTTTTGACCAATCTGTATCTCAAGCCAGGTCTGCTGCCACCATTTCTGCAGATGCCCTAGGTCTTAATATCATACAGTAACTCGATGCTGCATTTAACCTCCAACATGTGCTCTCTTCTATGGTGGAGACTAAAACTTGTTGTGCTTACAAACAGGACAATTCTGGTTATACCTAGGGAGTTTCTTCAACTTCAGTGATATTATACTACCATATATTGCAAGCTCCCAGCTTATTCAATAATATCTGCAGGACAATTCTGATTATGCTTCAGAGAGTTATACTGATCCTAGTGATGTCTTACTATCTTGCATATCTCATCTTACATTGGTTGGTTGATCCTAGTCTTGTTCATCATAGAATTCCATATAGGTATAACCAGAAACCTGATTTGGTACTTATACACTAATCTCCAAGATTTTTTCCTTCTATAATTAGATTATTTGGCTATGCCAGAGGTGCTTCCAATTTTTGGTTAGACCAATCCTTTATCACAGTCCATTCTTGTGTTCACTGCTTCTCTCATCACTCTAGTCTTGGTTACTTTCAGAATACTCTCCCAATCAAATCCTCTTCTTGAATTCTAATTAAGACTTATTTACATAATCTGTTGATTATCCTTCCAAGCAAGTACCCTACAATTTGGATGCAGAGATGTTGGTACTGTCTATATTAGAAGGTATAAGAATGTTGGTGCTGCCCTAGCCTAAAGGACTTATATGTGCAAACTTTCTATAACTGTAACCTTCTGTAATAACCACTTGTTACACATAGTGCCTGCACTCCACAATTGGGTCTCCTTTTGAAAATTCCTATTTCCATTATTATACTGCACTTGGACTTAACCACAGGGCTTCACATTCAATTACAGGCTCCTTATTAGGTTACAGAAGCTAAAACCTTTCAATTTTGCCTCCAGCCAGACTTGAACCATTGACCTTAACTATAGAGGGTATGGGAGCTTAACTACTAAGCTATGGAACCCACATCCTTATTTAAAAATGTTTTAATCAATTATAACTTTATACTTACTTAAATTTCTAAAAAATATTTTGTACTGATTTAATGCAAACTGTATTTTTTTTTTATTTATCCCTGGTGTTAATACCTAGGGGCACATGTGGCACTCTTTTATTAAAATCAAATTATTAAGAACATTGTATACATTAATATATATTTTTCATTTTTTGAGAACAGTTTTTTAGATTGTAGTACAGAGTATGTATGTCTTTGCAGAGATGTTTAATTACTATTAGGAGTAGGATTCTGCTTGAAAGGTTGCTGTTTTCCTATTTGAAAGAGGTGTAAGTGCACCATATTTCATAAATTATGTTTGTATACAACCAGAGAATAGCTTGTTTGCTTTCATTATTTATAATGTTTGTTGCTGTAAAAATTTCTTCTATAGAGGTTGGAGGAGTCTCAGCTTGGTTAGTTTTTAGAAGGCTATAGGCCTGTTTCCATATTTCTTTGCTAACTTTGCATTTAAGTACAAAGTGCTCAGTGGTTTGTAGCTTATTGTCACACCAGAGGCAGTTTCCTGTAATAGAAGGGCTTATATGCTGTAGCTGGTATCTTAGTGGTAAAGTTTTATAAAAAAGGAACATAAAATGTCCTTTTTCTTGTTAGTTGTTTTCTTAACCAGCATCCAGTTAGGGTGTTGGCTATGATTAGGTGGCTCTGATGTCAGCCTTTTTCTTAGAATTTCAATGATTTTCTTGACTGTAAGTTCTTCTCTGTTAAGTTTTTCTATTTCAATATCTTTGAGCTCCCAAGGCCAGCTTGTTGTTGCAATAACTTTGCCTTTGGCCTTTTTCCAAGCTAACAGGTATGGTTTCTATTCTCTTGGCCAGGCTTTTGATCTGATAATGTCTGTTTTTAATGCCTTGTTTATTGATATGTTTCTTTTTTTAAGTAAGATTTCTGTGATTTTTTCTCTTTTATATTTGGCTCATATAAAGTCACTAGTAAGGAGTTTTTTTCCATATTGAGATTAGTCTAGCATCTAGCATATCTCCTACTATTGGGGCTTGAAGGCCATTTTGTTCAAATGATTGTTGGAATATAGAGTATCTAGGCAGCATTCTGGAATTGTTTTTAATCCAGAGTGTCATAAGTTTGTTGATTTCTGCAATCTGTTTTTTACTTGGTGGAGTCAGGTATGCTGCATACCATATCTGTAAAAGTATAAGTGCCTTAGCTAAAAGGATTTTTCCTCTAAAAAAAAGATTTCAATTAGATGATTTTTCTAGTGTCTTTTTTATCCTAGTGATTGTTGTTGTCCATAAGTCTTTTTTAGGAATGTCTTTTGTGTTTACTTCATACCCAAGAATTGTTAGTGTTTCCTGTTCTGTAGTTTTAATAAATTGGGATTCATTCTTAAGTTTAATCCTGCAAGCTGTATTTGTAAAAGGCACTAATTTGGTTTTGTTTTTGTTGATTTTTGCATTAGAGACAGCTTCGTAGGTTTCAAAAAGTTGCATAATGTTTATCCAGTCTGATGATAAGCTTATTCCTATTGTTAAATCATCTGCATAAGCTGACAGTTTAAAGAACTGGTTTTTTAAGAGAATTTCTTGAATGTTTCTTTCTAGTTGTATAAATAGTAGTTCAAATGCAAATACATATAGTAGGGGAGAGAGTGGATCCTCTTGTTATACTCCTCTTTCTACTCTAAAAGGTTTAGATAGGACATTGGCTTCCATAATGTGTGCCATTTGGTTTGTAAAGAGGTTGGACCAGGTTCAGAAAGTTATGGTTCACTTTGTCAAAAGCCTTTTGCTGATCTACTAAAAGCATCCAGTGCTGTTTGGAGCTGTCTGATTGGTTTCTTAATATGGTAATTATATTTAAGGCTGTGTCTGTTATTGATCTTCCAGAAACAAATCCTTGTTGGTGATTGGAGATAATTTTTTTGCAGATTAAGTTAAGCCTGTTTGCTATAATTTTCATAAAAATTTTAGCATTGCAATTTACTAGTGAGATTGGATGCCAGTTGTTTAAGTCTTTTAAGTTTTCTGACTTTTTGGGAATTAGTATGATTATGTTTCTGCACTATGAATTAGGTAAACAACCAGTATTTAGTACTTGATTGAACAACATTTCTAGAACTGGTGCTATTTCTGATAATGTAAATTTGTAGAATTCATAAGTTAGCCCATCAGTGCCATGTGACTTGTTATTAGGAAGGCCTTGTATTGCTTGGATTATTTCTTCTTGTGAAATTCTTTTGACTAAGTTGTTATTTTGGTCCCATGGTACTTGAAGAAGACTTTCAGTAATCTTTTCTGCTGCTTTAAGATCTATGTTTTCTTCTTTGTAGATTTTTATATATTGGTTTTAATATATGTAAGTGTATCTTTGTTTTCTGAGCTTAAAGTTTCAGGTATTTCGATTCTAGACTGGGCACTTTGTGACTTTCTTGCTTTATATCTTGAGAAGAAGTATTTTGTTGCCTTTTCTCTATTTTTGATCCATTTTGTCTTTAACTGAATTAACCATAACTCAGCCATCTTAGTTAGTTCTTCTTGTATTTGAAGGTTAAGTTCTTTTATGTTTTCATTAAGGTGTTCTTTTGAGGAGTCTGCTGCAAGCTCCTTACTTAGCTTTGTAATGTCTTTGTTTAGCCTTGCCATTTTGTTTTCAGGGGGTTTGGGTTTTCGAAAGGCTCTGATAATTGATTATATGTAAATTTTACATAAATCCCAGTTTTCTGCTAAGCCAGCATCCTGAATTTCCTTTAGTACCTCTTTTTTTAGTAATTCGTTTTTAAAAGATTCTTTATTGAACTTCCAGACTGAAGGCTGTTTAGATTCTTGTTTGAATTCCAGTATGCATCTTACTAGGAGGTGGTCTGAATTACCAAAGTGCATGCTAACTTCTGATATAAGGTGATTATGATTCTCATCTATAAAAATGTAGTCCAAACATGTAGCAATTGAGCAATTATTTTGTGTTTTCTGAAAAAAAATTAGAAAGGGCTTGGTGCTTGATGTTTCTTCTGTGTTAATAAATTCCTTTGTTAGGTTGAAGAGCTGGGTCCTAGTTGAGTCATGTTGGGCTGTTGCTTGACTTATCCTGTTGTCTTTGGGATTAAGTTTAACATTGAAGTCTCCTGCTATAATGTTTATACTGTTTTCTTTGATTTGAGGTTTCAGTCATTAAAAAAGGTTATTCTGTCACTAATGTTTGGTGGTGCATAGATGTTTGTTGTTTTAAAGAAGTATCCTTTAAATACAAAGTCTGTTGTTATTATTCTTCCTTCATGGCTTATCTATTTAATGTCTTTGCTTTCTACTAAAATTGCTGTTTTTTTAGTCCAGATTGAATCGTAAATCCATTGTTGTTTGAGGAATTCTTGTGTTTTTTCATTATTAAGGTTAGTTTCCTGAAGCATTATTATGTCTAGTTTGTATGATTTTAAGAGAGTTAGTGAGTTTTGTTGTTTTCCTTTGTCATTAAGTCCTTTTACATTTAGTGTTGCTATTTTTAATTTGGTTTTTTGAGTCATAAATTATATGAGGTTGTTGGATCCCTTGAATTGGAAGTGGCTTGCTTCTTCATAAGTTTTTTTGTTGGAGATGATCTTGTTTTGTCTTTCTTAGATGTTCTGTTTCCTTTTTTGGTTTTTCTGTTTTTGTCAGAAGGAGAAGCTGCTTTAGAGATGTGACTTGCAGATGGATGTGATGTTCCATAGCCATAAATGGCAAGTTCATCTCTTGGTAGCATTTCTGTATTTGGTAAGAGATCTTCTTGGATTGTTACTTGTATTTGTTTATCTGAGCTGTTATTTGTTATAGCTAATTCTGCTGAAACTGGAAGCTGAAGGTTTTGCTTATAGCTAGGATCAGTTTCCTCTAAGGCTATATGCGCATCATCTTTTGTATCATTTTGTTCTTGTTACTTAAGGTTTGCTGTTAATAGAGGTTCTTCATTGCTTTGTTTGGTACTTTTTGGAGTCTCATTTAATTCCTGAAAGTCATTTGAGAGTCTTCTATTATGTTTGTCCTCTTTGTATTGTTGGTAGCTAATTCGTAGATTTACTGAGTCCTGAAATTGCTAGCATTTTTTTTTAACATGGCCTTCTTTCTTACAGAAGTAGCACATCTTAGGTGCTGATTTCCATTCTGTTGTGATCTTATTGTTCCACACATGTGTGAAACAAGGTATTTTGCTTTCTAGATTAGGATCATCTAAGTTCTCAAAGATTATAATCTATTGGTCCATAAGGTAAGGTGTTCCTTCGATCAGTAGGAGCTTGATTGATGCAATTCTGCCCACAAACTCAAAGGCTTCTTTTATAGCATCTAATATTGCTTCTTTGTTACCTAATGGAACATTTCTGATCTTAACTGGAAGAACTGATTTTCTTGAATCTGTAGGAATAAAGCTGAAGTAGGTTCTACTGAAAATATTAATACCCTTGATAGCATGGTGTTTTAATTTGTCTTTATTTTTGAACACAATTTCCAAATATGTGTGTGTCCTTTTCATAAAGTGTTGTTTTGCTGCTATGACATCCTCTTTAAGGTTCTTGAATAATGAGACCATAATTTCATTGAAAGAGCTGTGCATGCCTTGGATGTCTATCATTAGAGCATTTTTATTTTTTGATCTGATTTGAGACTAGACCACTTTTAGTTAGTGTCTCTTTTAGACCTTTTTGTCTGTTGCTGTCTTTTTGTAAGTCATTGTAAGGGTTAGTTTTATATGCTTCACTTAACAAACTGCTACTTTGTGAGTTTTCCATTATGTCTAGCTTCTGTTCTGTTGTATTTTTGGTTTCTTCTAAGTTGTCTAATATTACCTGTTCCTCAGACATGTTGTTTGTTGTTATGTTTATAGTATCTTTGAACATGTTATTCTTGTTTACTTTTTGGTCTTGAGTAGCTTTCGTTTTTTCTATTTCTAGTTCAACTTGTTTGTCCCAG